CTTCCTGTTGCAGCCAGATGCAGGTTGCCCCTTCTTCCCAGGTGGGCAGCCCCTTCTGCCCAAGGTGTGGTGTGCAGGGAAACCAAATCCAATGTGCTCCATTCTTTTCTCTGCCAGGGGTGGGAAGTGAAGTCAGAACCCAATGTTCAAAACCTGAAGGACACTAGGAAGAAGAAAAATAGAGTGAATGGTTAGATCTCAGCTTCGGTGGGAATCCTGGATGCATAGATAAGGAGTTAATTACGATCAATCAGCCCCTGCTGCTCAAAGAATGCCAACTTTCAGCAACAGTCAAACAGATCACAAAAGACCCTGGTCAATGGAGAGTCAAGTGGAATATGCAACTGCTCAGCTCCAAGCTTCAGAGTACAATTGAGACAGAAAGATAAAACAAAAGCACAAAGGTCAAAAGTAAGTACTCCTCCTGTAAGCTGACTGCACCAAAGCTCTGCAAGATAAGGAGGCTTGAAGAAGGACTTGGCTAACACCAGACACTTTGCAGGAAAGCAACAAGGAAAAGGAAAATTACTCTTTGCCTTAAGGAACCACAAATATCAACTGGTACGTAGAAGACTAAGAAGGGATTTTCAGAGATCACACACTAAAACTGTTTATGCTCACCCACTTAAAGAAATATTTAATTATTTGTAGGTAGGTACAGGATTTCTAGATGTCTCATTCCCCACAAGTCTAAAGATCTCTTCTCAGGTCTTTTGCCTCACTTCAACGAAGCTGCCACAACTCGTTCAAACAAGCCTTGGAATAGGTCTAAGCAGACTTAAGACATTGACATAAACCCTCCACCATAGGTCTATGATCCACTTGAGAAGGCAGAATATTGAGATAAATGTAGGGCATACAATCAGTTGCATTCAGTAATAGTGAGCATGAAATAAACTTGCGGAAAGGGAAAGAAGCTACAAGAAAGAAGCCCTGAACATGACAGTAACTTAAAACAGAAGCCAGAGCAACAGGCTACTTTGGGAAACTGCAAGTTGCTGGGTGTTTTATTTATTTATTAATGTTCTGGTAGACAAAAATACAGTGTTTGGACCAAAGGGAATTAGATAGAGCACATGAAGAAACACATGAGTCCAGACCAAGCTGGGCAAGGGATGAAGAGTTCTCCATGCTATGAAGCTACAGGGAGTCTCACTGAACAACTAAAGATCATTAACTAATGGCCACCAGAGAGTAGATGGACTTCACGCTCGCCAATGAGGCACAAACTGTACCACTGTACGAAAGAGGCAATTCTGTTTCCAGGTATTTCTCCTACTGGCTTGCAGAAATACCAAACATAGAGGTAGATGAGCAAGCCCAAAGTCCCTGACCTGCCCAGAGACAGATGGGTGGCCACTCACACTTCCCAGGACCAGAACGGAGGACACTTGGTTAAGTGCTGAAGGCAAGAGTGGTTGCCTGGGATTGAGCACCTGCATGCCACGGTCTAATTCCAGCTGTGGCTACCCTTTCCATGACCTGGCTCACAAAGGCTCCCTTAAGTCACTCTGTAGGGCTTACACACCCAGTGCCTTAACCAGTGAATGGCAGGCTTACAACTGAGTGAGCCACAGGTACCAGGCAACAGCAGCAGAAATTGTAGAATTTTTATTTTTCCTAATCAAGGAAAGTATTCACACACAGACTTCCCTGGTGGCTAATAGCTAGGTTTGTGGGTGTCACATCGCTGCTGGGCAAAGTTTCAATGTTTGATATCTAATCTCCAAGAGAGACAGAGTTCAAACAGACCCCTGGTAAAGCTGTGGACAAGCTCTTTAGCATTTAAGTTGCAAGAAGGGGATAGTCGTGTCAGCTTTGAGCACCATGGGTAACATCAACTAGCTTGTGTCTTCCCAAGTGCTGCAGAGAGACTAAGTACTCATTCCTAAAGATCTTCTCTTGCCTGCAAGAGAAGTATTTCCCCAACTCCAGTTTCATTCTGGCTGTTCAAATCAGTGTGATTGCTGGCATTCATTGATGAATGGTTTTTACTTGGCATACTTTACACCCATAACTGACCCAGAAGGCTACAGGTCAAGCCCACAGTAACTACTCAGGACAGCTTTAGGTTAGTCATGACAGAGTAGCTTTTGCCAATATGAATTTGACATGGAACACACATTCACAGAAAGGATATGAATGGAAAAAAGCCTGGCACACCGTGGAACAACATGAAGTGGCAGCCATGCTTTCCCTGAACAGTGATTTCCAAACAGGGACCCTAGTAACTCGCTGCAGTAACAGATTCAGAGAAGGGAGACATGACACATTCTCGACCTCCTCAGACACTGATGTCTGTGCTTACTTGTTTTTGGAACTTGTAAATTGGAGAAAACATTCTGCCTTCTTTTCTCAGAGTCCCTCCTGGCCCCCAGGAACATTCCTATTTCCCTCCACGCGCACCCTGTTCCTCCTTTCCTTAGAAACCTGACCCACCTCTCTGTCTCGGCAGCGTTTTACACAGTACTTGCTCTCCTCTAGGGAAAAAGCTCCCCTTCATCCCCCTCCATGGATTCTGAAAAAGCTTTGCAAAGCGCAGAAAAAGCAAACATAATCTAAGGACAGAATAAAAGGCTTGAAAAGCATCACTTTTCCAAGCGCAGTACCGCTGTTAAGAATTTTTCAGAGAGGCATGTAGGACCTACGCTTTCTGCTGAAACACAATACTGATTCAGAATTTGTTCCAGATCTCACTCCTTTCTTAGCGAGCATGTGTCTAGCATTATTTCCCAGAAAGTATCACTTCAACTTCACACATGGAACAATGCAAATCCAGGGTTTTTAACATCAGATACCTTCTCTGTTTTGATTAAGCAATTCATGTGCTAAGTATGGAATAATAATATGGAACAAGAACATAACTATGCTGTTAAGAGCTCACATTCTCCCTCTTAAGCATTTGATTATAGACACATCTTCACCAGTACTAGATGCTACCCTTTGATAAAGGTAGCGTTCCTTCAGCTTCTCTGCTTTATACTCTTAAAAAAAAAAATCTCCATAGCTGGTATTCTGTAGACAGAGGTCTTGTCTATCCAACCCAGGTAAGTAATGCACCCAGGACTGCAGGACAGCTTGCATGTGTTTTGAAAACACTCCTTTGAAAAACATTTCACCCCTGCAAAGTCGATGTATTCCCCAAATATGATGGCCTGCCCTAGCATGGCATAAAAAAAAGCCACCACAGAAGCTCAGAACAATATTCAGTGGAAACACTGCTCAAAAGGCCATAGCCTCTATCACTAACTCGCACACAATCCTAACACAAATGAAGGATGCCAATGTCTTGTTAACCAAATTTGTCTTTGAAATCAAAACTGAGTTTCCATACTCCACCTGAAGTTAGGCTATTCAATTTAAGACAGCCACTCAGTAATTCAGCAAGAGCACAGTTAACAAATGCACAAGACTAAAAAACCCCATAATGAAATAGAAAAGCTTCATTGATCCTCCCTCTCTCTACAGTAAAGAGATCTGTTAAGTACAGACAGAACAACATTACAAATAAATAAAATCCTAAGCAGTGTAGTGGGACTTTGAATAAGAGGGAGTTAAATTGTGTTTAAAAAGACAATATCTATTGGTGTATCAACACATTCACAGGGTTTAAGTACCACCGGCTCAAAGGACAGCATTTTACTTTGTCTATACCCAAGACACTTGTCTAGAATGGCTGTACTGGGGCAGAGCAGAAAAATATTTAACTTAATATCTGGTGTCCAGCATGAACAGCAGCAGAAATCACCAGAAAATTTAGGCTGAAATAGGCCTCCATAGGTCACTTAGTCATGCAAACTACCTCAGGGTTACTCAGATGCCTAAGAAAGAGTATTAAGGTCAAGCACATGATCATTTCACTCCATCTCCATCATTTTGAAGCTCAAGGGCTTCCCACAACTGAAGCAGTATCTGCAATTTGGCCTTAGTTCTGCCTGCTCAGCTGTTAGGGATCGAATTTGCAACACTACAAATATCGTATCTGCCTCCTAACAGGAAATATTCTTGGCAAGACTTCCACTTTCCAACCAATACCCAGCCTATGTTCCAGTCCGTAAAAGAAATTGTCTATTTTCTGTTAGCTAACTGAGCTCCAAGTGTGAAGTATCCCTTCAGCTCCATCTCTGTAATTCTTCAACTGACCCAGTGGTTAAAGAGCTTCAAATCAGGGTGTCGCACCCTCAGAGAATAAGACATTTTTAACTATTGACCTCACATACACTATTTGCCAAACTGACTCTAGAAATTTTTTGTGCAAATCGAAGATCGCTGAAGAGGCAGCTTTCCTCTGTATGGGATAGCATTAACGCATCCTTCCTCCTTCCATTTCCATCCACACTGCATACTCCTGTTTCCCATTCCCATCCCAATAATGGCTACATAAGCAATTCAGTAGTCAATGCTGATGAACCGTCTTACCAGACTTTACAGACACTATCCCAGATAAGGGAAGGGCAGAGGGTAACTGAGAGTGATTCTGCCCTGCTACACACAGTGCAAAAGCAGGCAGTTATGACACAGACACGCTTTGCAACCACACATACTAGAAAACTTTGCAAGGATAAGAACAACCTGGATAGAAACACAGCATGTGATTGGGTCAGTTCACCTGTTCTGTATGAATCATGTCTTTATTTATGCAATCAGCATATGCTCTCATGTCAACTTCAGAGCTATAGGCATTGCATGGCAGAGACTGACATCCTGTAATGCAGTCATCTTTGGTAACAAGAGACAACAGGAGTTTCATTCAAGCTGCTGCTCTACTCCATAAAGGAGTTTACTGTCTGGTAAGTGAAATCTACCTACCTTTACACAGCTTTTTCTCCTTCTAAAGGGGAATGGGGCTCTCCCAGAAGCTTTTTACTCAAAGAGTACCTGCACTTGCAAAGAGGTATCTTTGCTGCAGAGTTGGGCACAGGAACCATCCCAGACAGGGCTGTTCCCTCTGTAGAGCTGTAGCATTACATCACTACACCTACCTTTTTGTGCTCCTGAAGTTAACTTGGTACCCAGGTATGGTTGGAGGCCTGCGAGGTGCTGGGATAGCTGGGAGTAGACAGAATGGGTTCAAAATTAAAGTCCAGTCCTTCTCCATCCATGAGTTCACTGTTGATTATGTAATCCATATCACATTCAAGGTTCTCCATGTACATGTCAACGTCCAGGTCAATGGGCAGCTTATCCTGGTTCAATCCCAAGGGAGCAGGGCTAGCAGAAGAAAGAAGCAGTGGACTGCCCAGCTGGACTGACTGGGCAGTTGTTGCAGAAACTGGAGCCTTCAAACTGCTGATGCTGGCAGTGTTTTGAGGAGATGTTACTACAGGAAGCGTTGATGGCAAAACACTGGCACCGACTGGTTCTGCCTGCTGCTCTGTAGGCTTTCCTCGTGGATTGCCTGAGCTCATCTTACTCTGGGTGGCTTGTCCACCGAGAAGCAGAAGAGTTCGGCTGCTCATTCTGTTACCAGTCTGCGGGAGAACTGGATCCACCTGAGTCATCATAACATCCCTTGGAGGCGGAGAGCTGGGTGTCAGAAGAGCTTCCAAGGTCTGAGGGGCAGAGAAATGGCTGACAGAACTTTGCAGCGAGATATCAACAGGGTTAAACAGGGAATTACCAAAAGTAGTGGTCTGACCAGCTGCATTTGGGCTCCGCAAGGAAAAGCTGGAATCTCTCTGGATCTGACCACTCGAGGCAGATTGCTGGGTAGATAACACAGATGAGCTGGGAGACATCAAATTTAACCCATCGATGAGCTCAAGCTCCTCAGTCACAGTTGGCGGAACATTGCTGGATGCACTGGAGTACACTAGAGAAGGAAGGAGCTCTTCATCATGGAGGTCATCCTGCTCTGTCAGGATAGGAGAGAGCCTGGCACTAATGGTGCTTGCATTGGAACTGGTTCGAGGCCGGAAGGTGTTCCACACGTCAGAGTCCTCATTGCTCCTTGAGGATGGGCTCCCAGGCCACTTAGGGAATTGGGAGCCAGGACTGTCAGCAGTGGATTCGGGAGCAGATTGGAGAGGAGGCTTCTTTTTGGATGTTTTACCTCTGACTTTCGCAAGTTTGCTGCTGTTGTCCATGGAGGCAGCTCTTCTTCTTGGTGCTTTTCCACTTTTGCCACCCTCAGGATTGAGCATCCACCAAGAGCTCTTCCCTGTGGCTTCATTATGGACTTTAATAAACTTGCTGTGCAGGGACAGGTTATGCCTAATAGAGTTCTGAAAAAAAAGAATAAAATACAAGATATGAGGACCTGACAGTTGACACACCTCCCACCTAGAAACCTCACAAGCATAAACGCATTCAGACAGTATCTAGAGAAGAAAGTTATAACAAAGACCTACTAATTAAAAACTGTTATTTCTGCTTGATCATGCTTGACAGCACTAGGCGAGCAGTGCCATGTCCCGCTGCAGCACCAAGGGTGAAACTACCATGACAACTAGCAGCTTCCAACTAGCAAAATACTAACACAAAAGAACTTTTCAAGACTATACAGAATCTGCAAAAAATAAGCATACCACAGAGCAAGTAAGCATATTCCCAAATACAGCTTGCAACTTCAACATGAGCCTAACTGAATCTGAGCTAATGCTGCTCCTACCCTTCTGCCAACCCCAATAGCCAGCATAAGCCTGGCTGAATTTTTTAATTTTTATATGATTAGCTTTCAGATGGATTTGAGCACAGCATAGCAGTGAATCAAACACTCTGGGTGAAAAGAAATGGCAAAACACTTCTAATTCAGTACCCCCATTACCATATTCATCCCAAAACGAGAGAAACAAGAGAGAAACTTTGTAGAACAAGAGTCCTAGTAACCCTGGAGCCTGCCAGCCTCGCTCTGCAAGAAGGCAGCACCTTCCTCCGTGTGCATTTCTAATAGGGTAATATGTTAAGCAGGTAGTGTACTCCCACACAGTACATGCCAGTTTTAGCCTCTCCCATCTTTCTGTTTGGCAAGGCACACACTCCTTGCCTCTCCCAACTCCCTTCTTTTTGTTTAGCTTTGCTGGAAACTGCAAGCTAACATATCTGTGCACCATCATCAAACTGAATTTTCATCCTGCAATGATAAACTCCTTGGTATTTTAGAATCAGCAAGCAATAATTTCTTTGTTTGAGCAGATCCTCCATAAACTCCCATTGAGGCCTGTGTCATGCATTTGTTTGATATTTGCATTTAATTTGTTCAGTTGGTCAAATTACACATCATTAAAAGGTGCTACACTGGTAACATAACAGTGGTCCAAGAATACCACCTTTTTCATATAACTAAAAGGTATATAGCAGCCTTCAGCTTTCATACCTACTCTCTTAATTCTGAACAAAGTTAACTGTGCTTTCATCACCCTTTCCCACCACCTCTGAACACAGTTCTTTCCTGCCTTCTGCTTTCCCTCTCCCCACCCTTTTCCTCTTGGACAAGTCCTTACCACGCTAATTTTGGCCTCCTCACCAAATGTACTATCCTAGAACAAAGCAGATGTAGAGAAACAATACAGGCAAAGTGGAAAGTTTTCATGGAGAGGGAAGGAAATGTGAGAATCATTCTGCATTAGCTTTAATTTTAACCTTTGGCTGTTGAGGACTTGGAGAAGACTGATACCCATCACAAAATGCAGCCAAAAGGATAAATATGCTGTTACTCAGAGAGCACCCCAAGGGTTACTGTGGAGCCAGGGCCTCATGTAACATGTGTCAGTCAATGCTCTTGCATAGTTTTATTATTTGAGTTGTTCACAGTAATAGCTATGCAACACTTCTGCCTGGCATCTTCTCTAAATAAAGCTTTCTTTTCCTTCAAGTCTTGAAAAAAGTAATTCAGATTGGTACCCTGTCTCCTGGAAGGCTGCTGCTTTAATTTCCAAAGAATTCCCCCTCCTCTTTTCCTAGGTAAATGTGCATGGCTTTGAATGCATACTGCTTGCAGCAATTAAGAACCACTAGGTTTTCACTAATTCTTCATTTATTCTCCTGAAAGTCATCTGTGAACTCATGACACCCAGTCCCATGAGGAATCAGCCAGTAGCTTGCACACAGTATACATTTGGAGTCTCATAACCACCTGGTTTTTAGTTCCATTTGCTAAAATGGAACTTTAAACCAACAGGGTCAGGATTTCAAAATTTCACAACTAACTATATTCTGTTTTCTTCTCATGCCAGGTTTTAATTCCTGTGTCAGCAAAAGCACACTGCACTGGTGCAAGCATTTCAGTTACACTGAAACCTCAAGGAAATTAACACCACTTTGGGTGTCATAAGTGACAATTTTAGTAACTAGTTTTCTAGTTCTTTGGCTGAAAAACACCTTTGGAATAAGACTAGGATTCACATGAACACAGATCTGCAAAGCCTGGTACCTTTTATGAAACGGTCTCAAAATCCTTTTACACATTACTGCTAAACTGACATAGCAGCTAATAGCTGTAGAAACAGATACTTGCTGTACCATTCCTTCCTTCCTCATCTTCAAACTCCCTTCCTCCCATAACACAAGCATCTGTGACCCTATCAGCTGGTTCAGAGAGCTAACCCAATCAAAAAGCAGTCCTATCCTTCCTTGAAAATTACTTTTCCTGCCTCTGCCTGTTTTTTTAACTACCTCACTGTGGGGGTCAAACACTGAAAACAGAGGAAGGGAACAAAACATGTGGTTGGAGGCAGAGAAGAACCCAAACTCTTCTTAAGTTACGGTTAACTGCTGTCAAAACTGCAATGCCTAAAATTACCACTTTCACACCTCTCCTTGCAGAGTCTGAGGCAGCTCACCACCACAGCTGCAGCACCCTGAGCCGCAACACACCTGCATGACTGAGCTCGCCTGCATACTGGTCCACAGAGACCCAAAATACAACTGAACCGATGCACCTACCAGCCTGGTGCTGTGAGAACCACCGAACTGAACCAAACCACCTACCAGCTGTGAGAAAGCACAAGAGTCACACTTGCATACCACATGCTCCCCGGCACAAGAACGCATCTGCTACAATGATTGAATATACGCAACATATGGAGGACACACTCAAATCTCATTGAGAAAGTGAGGGACAAATCAGTTATGCTGAAATAATCACAGAACTCCAGGTCAAACTTGACAGGAGAGGAAATAACAGAGTTCAGTCACCCAGGCAACCCTGACGTATTTCCTTTCTCGGTGTTAAGCAACTCAAACCAAAAACATATAGATGACATTAACTTCTTAGATGCTCAACTTCAGCAGTGGGGAGGATTCCCAGCTGGTGTGAGCACCTGCAACCCACACAAGGTCTTGGCTCTGCAACATCTTTGACTGTAAAGAAGCATGACCTGAAGGAAGGAAGAGGCACAGGCAGGAATCCTTCAAAGACTTAGGGATCTCTTCAACAACTAGCTATGGGTGGTTATTGCTGTTTGTTCAGATACCTTATAGAGGTTCTTATGGCTATATGTTAAGTATTGCAGTGAAAAAAAAAAAAGCCAGTCTGTGTCTCTAATCCATCACAGATCAAAAATTATTCCTGTAAACCACATTCAGACACAGCCATTCTGAAATTGATGACAGACATTATGCAAAAAAATTAAAGTTTGGCTAGATGCATTTATTGTACACTGAAGGGTGGACCGTTCACTAGGTCCCAACCACTGTGCGTGCAAGCTAGGACATATGGACCAGCCACAGAAGTGTGGCTAGCAGCATACACAAACTATCTCCTAAATCTCAGTTTACACAACATTAAGTCTCCTTCTTTGATAAAATCTCCTAGCCCTATTTAAAGGGCAGGAACACACCTTGCCATTGTACCAGGCCTGCCACCACACCAGCATCAGTGCTGCTGCAGACCCTGCCCAGCACCGAATGGTGCTTTAGTCTCAGGATTAGGAATTAGCCACAGGAGCTAGCAGCACAACCAAGCAATTATCCCACACAGTCAGCCTGCTGACCTACTGCCATAGACACCGATATACTATGGAAAATGCACAAGTGGGTCATACAGAAGACAGAATGCCAGTGACAGCCTTTCCAGGGGACTACACAGCTTTATAGGTAAGATTGAGGTTACCTACCATAAAACTGAAGTTTTACTCAGACCAGGTCAGAACATTCAGGATGGTCTGTTCAGATTTTAAGGTTGCTCACACTAGAAACAAGCTTACTCACCCTCCTGTGATGTACTTTCTTCTAAGCACTGATGTGACAGGAGCAGAAGGAGGCTCTTGTGTCCTGCCCAGAGGAGCTTGTCCATGCAGCAGCAGCAGTACATGAACTGTGCTAGCAGAGGGCTTGGGGCCAAGCACAAGCTATCATAAGAAAGACACAAGAAACAGTAGCTATCCTTGAAAATTTTCTTGCCCACATTTGCCTGGATTTTCAGTCACTGCTCCCTAGTACCAGGGACATTCTCCTGGGAAACATCAAGTTTCTACTACAAACCACAGAGGCACCAGATTTCTTAACAAAAAGTCTCTCAAGAATGAGTGATGACAGGGCAAGGGGGGGGAGAGATACGCAATCACTGCAGCTGCCTGTAATACTCTCTCACTGCCTCAGAGGCATACAAAGAACATGGTCACATCCCAGCACAGGGCCATGTTCCAAAGCCAGGCCTATAATTGTGCCGAATTATCATTTGCCATGGCATTCTTGGGAGGCTGCAGGGGGAGAACGCCCCGCCTGCTGCATTTGTCAGTGCCTGTCTCAGCGCTCACTTGGCTCTGAAGGCTTTAGGGGAAAGTCTTTGTTGCAGAGATTTTGCAAAGTTACGCTCCAGCAAGTAAACAACTGCTCCAGAGCCAGGGAGCTAAAACATTTCCCCAGCTATCCCCTTCCAGAGCACAGATGTCAAGCTCACTAGTTGGGGAGCTGTATCTTAGGAAGAACATTTTCCTTTCTGTAATCTTTCAATGGTAGCCCAGAAGAAGAAAACCCTAGGTCTTTAAAAAGCAAAGGCCGAGGCGATTTACTAAGACAGGCAGGCATATATAACAAAAGCTGTTTAGGATTAGATAGAGCAGAAGAAACTTGTTGGAACAAGTAATACCAGCAGCCTTCTCCAAGTCCTTCTCCAAGGACTGCCTGGAAAATTAAGCCATGCTGCAAGGAATCATCTTTCAGCAAAGCAGCCTTCCAGAACAAACTGGCAAGGAGCAGGAAAGAGAAGCAACAAAATCTTCAGGTAATTTGAGTGGCATTGCATGGGGCAGATGAACTTTCACCAGAAGCGAGGGGGACAGCT